ATTTTTTGTGAAAAAGTAATTAGTCATCAGTGAATCAATGACCCCTTTGATCATCATTTTACAGCCAATAAATTTGCTGATAAAACAGAATGTTTTGCTGTAAGAATTTCTTAAGCATATTCAATTATTGGTTTCTTAGCCGAATATTTCAAAAAGTAAAAAAAATAAAATAAAATAATTATTATAACTTTATTTAAAACAGATGAAGCAAAGAATATTTATGCTATTGTGTTGTTTATGAAAGATATCAACAAGGATTCAATTTGAAAATTATTAAATTAAATAAAGAAATTAAGTAAATATTTATGAAAAGCAATCAATAATTCGTGCCAAAAATTGAAAAAAGCAAAAGGAAGTAAAGGATGAATAATAACAAAGAATTCATATAAGATTCTCATTTTTTTCTCAGAAAATATTAAAAATTTTTTTTCGTAAAGATTTACTTTAAAAATTTTTTAGTTATTAAAATGTTAACGTTTCTATAATTAAATGATGCTGACCTTTTAAAAGCTTTGAAAAATTTTAATTTTTAAAATTCAAAAAATTCCATTGCAATAACACATAATTGCCATTATGAAATTTAAATAGTGAATGTGTGAGTGCAATATATGATTATTGTCACAAATGCTAATTAATATTTGATATGGTTGCTGACATTGCTGATGATATGCATGCATGTATGTATGTGTGTGTATGTGTGTATGTGTATGTATGTGTGTGTATGTATGTGTGTGTATGTGTATGTGTGTGTATGTGTGTGTATGTATGTGTGTGTGCATGTGTGTGTGTGTGTGTGTGTATCAGTTGGGAGACAGACAAGAATTATCGATGATCGATACGATCGTTCTGTTTGCTCCGTAAATTGTCCTTTAGATGAGCAAATAAATACTATTCCTATCGGTTTTTTCACTTCAATTAATCAGATTCCATCCTACAAAGATAACAATGGCAAAAATTCAAATTTTCAAATTGCTCATTATTGCAATTAATTTGATATTCAATGATATGGCTAATAACTAAAGAATTTAATTCATATATTTTTAGCACTATAAAGAAATATTATGTGGTATTATGGTTGATTAAATTATTAATTAAAGTTTGTATTTGATGAAATGCTATGATATTTAAATTTCATCCTTAACTCATTTATTTTTTTTTCATTCATTTAACCATTTATTAACTTCATTTTCACAATTTTCCCATTCTCTTTTATCTTCTATGTTTATCTCAATTTTCACTGAAAAAAGCAGAAACAACTAAATTCATGCTAATCAATTTTCAATACCATGCATCACAGAATTTTTAGCAAATATCGAATTCAAAAATTTGAAACAATTTAAAACATAAATTTCATTTTAATAAGATTTGAAAAATGCAAGCACTGATTAAGTTTCTATTCGGCTGTCACCAAGCCGAGCTGTCTGCTATATTTGACAAAGAATCTACATTTTGTCCATGTTCAAATAAATTTTGAAGGTCACTACCGATCATTCCTGTGCAACGAATAACATTTGTCAATTAATTGAAACGAAACAAAAGGGAAGCAAAATATCAACAAGGTTAGACTGAAGAAATAGTACTGGTATGGAAGAAGATATGGTTGACAAGGACAGGGACGATCCGTTACAGGCGGCAACCGCAGCATCAAAACCGGCTAACACTGGAAAATTCGAATTTTTCAATTGCTCCATTACAATAAAATATAGCAGACATCGGCTACTCCTCCAAATGAATGTCCATGAATTTGTAAATGTCATTTTGAATGATTAATTAATGTCCATCAATGACCGCTGCAAGATCAAACAAAGAGGCCAATATTAGTTTATTTCAAATTTGTTGCCTGAAATTTCTTGAAATATGACAAATTTCTTTTTTTGTGACTAAGTTATTGCTTTCAAAGCTTAAAATGTAATTATAAATAACTGTTCCATTTTATACTTAATGTCGTAATGTGTGTATCTGTATATATATGTGTGTGCGTGTATATGTGTGTGTGTGTGTGCGTGTGTGTGTGTGTGTGTGTATGTGTGTGTGTGTGTGTCTGTGTATGTGTGTATTTATCCAGCAATTACCATTTCGATGCTGAGCATCCGATACTTAATGTTTGTTTGGAAAGGAATAGTGCTTTCTTTCCAGTAAACCTGTAGTAAGTGATCTCTTTTCAGCCATCATTGATTACAAATGATTGTGTTTTATTTTTCAGAAATATTTCAAAAAAATTAGAGAGAAAAGGATTAATTCCCATTAAAACTTTAGAAAGTTAAAAATTTTTTATTTTATTTTAAAAGCAATTAAATTTGAAAATTTTAGTATAGTAAGAAGCATAAATGGTAAAAAGTATGTAAAACAATCAAATTATACGAGGAGAAAGCATCAGACATGCGAGTGTTGCAAATTGATGTATCAATGATAAATAACGATGAAAACTATCGCCGTCATTTGTTAGAATCAAAAGTATTTCTAATACTTTTTAGCAGCTTTTTGACGGGAAAAGTAAAAGCGTTTACTGTCATTAAATAAGCCATTCTATATGCTTCTTTCCCACCAAATATTTGAATATATATTGAAAAAAAAAAAAGAAGAATTTATATCCGTTTGATTGATATATACATTTATTACATTAGTCATAAACAGCTATGCAAATTAATAGCATTTTTTTTTTTTTTTGATACTACAATAACAAACAAAAAAAAACATATCTATTGGTATTTGAATTTTTGGAGCCATTACAGATAGATAGGCAATAACAAATATTTACAACGAAGAAAAAAAGTGAAGAGAAAGAGGGAGAGAGAAGAAAAGAGCAAAATAAATTAGTAACTTTTTCATTCGAATTTTGTCACTCCTTACATTCACAAAAATATTTGATTGTTGACACCCGTTGTTCAGTGATTTTTTTTTATTCTTTAGAACTTTGCAAGGACATGCCGCAGAATGCACTGAGAAATGATTTATCAATTTCGCATGTTTTTATTATATTGAATGGTAAATGAACTGTGAATTGTTTATTGTGTGGTAATTAGAGAGGACAATTTTGGAAAGTAAACAATACTTTGATATTCCTTGATTCAAGCAAAAAAAGTCTGCTACAATTTTTTTGCCAATTTAGATAATCAAATTATAAAAGCTCAGTGGGAATGCAAAAAGAGAGAGTAAATGCAACTTTAATTTAAGAAATTTAATACATAATAAAATTAATTTAAGTGAAACAGCATTAGAAATTGATATTTAAATGCAAAAAATATGTTTCTGATGCGATTGAATCATTAGTGGAAGCCAAGCTTTAGTCTAAAGCTCCAGACAAAACTTCAGGTAAACAGCCAAATATAACTTAAAGCAGTATCGCTTAGGGATAGTTTCAGTGAAATTTACATTAAATTTTTGATGAAACAGCAAACTTTGAATTCAAATTAAAAGAATTTATTCAACTGAATTGTTCTAAAATTTCAAAAAAAGAAAGTAAAGATTATAAACAAAGCAACCATGATGGCAAGCAATCCTAATGACTAAAATTAAATGCATTAATGATAAAGTGAAGTGTGATATGTAATTCACGAGAAGAGAATGGAAACTAACGACTTTTGACCTCATTGTTAAATATGAAATATTTGTGAAGAATGGAAGTTGCATGTCACAATTTTACTTATATATTATACTTTTTTATCTCACTTATTTTTTTTTCTATCACGAATGCAACTACCTTCCATCGGTTATCTGAAACGCAATTTTTTTTTCTTTTAAAATATGAAAATGATACTACAACGTGAAATCTGCAAATGCATTCCTGCAATAACCAATGTTTTTTGAAAACAAACATGTTTTTTATTTCATAATCTACGATATGCTTATCATTGCAGTGCAGTTTTGTCAGCTTTTACTAATTTCATATTTTTAAAAAAGAAGTGCAAAAATTGTGCAGAAACGAAAGTAAAAATTTTTCGATATAAAGTTAAAACGTTTTCTTGCTTGCTAGTTTCACTAATCCCTGTTTTATTAATTTATTTGTCTTATAATCCAACAAGAACTATAAAGAATAAAAATTTGAATTAAGAAAGGATTTTATTTCTACTTGAAAAGATTATGAAATAGGATTTTTTTTATTATAAATGCAAATTATGGTGCTGAGATGGCAAAAAAAATCAATCATTCACTCCTGTGATCTTTGAATCAGTGACGATAGGGGTAAATAAAACAATTCTCAACTTTCATCCTAGTTTTGAAGACGATATAAATTGCATTCCTTGAAGAAATCAAAGTCGACGCGACAGTATAGACAAAGTTAATTTTGAAATACAAGAGCACTTAACTATTTATTTATTTGAACTGATGTGAAATGGTCAATGGCGGAAAGTTCGCACAGTGAATTCAATTATAGGAGCTATCTATATGGTAATAACACGGGAAAAATTAGACCTTTAGTTATTAATTTTTTCTTTTTTTCTCTTTATTCTATATAATTTTACCATCTAGACATAATTACCACTGATCGCTTGTTCCTTTATTATCTTTTTACTATTCAAGATATCTTTTCTCTGAAAGAGGAAAACATGAGGTTCTATACTTTTTGATTCGATCAGCAATCAATTAGTTACAGTGATCTGCAGAAAATATTTCATTTGAGCAGTGAATCTTTTTTATCTTATTTTAGCTGATAATTAAAGAAATTCATTGTCACAAAGAATTAAAGTTCCATGGATTTTAAGCCAATAGCTCTTAAATGATTAATGACAACAAATACAGTCAAAAATTTAACCTCATTGAATCCTTAAATCAAAGAAGATATTAAATATACTTGGAGATTAATATGAATGAAATCAATTCATTACTTTGATTTTGCGATTCTCTATTTAATGTTCAGTCTTGGATTTTTGATCATTTAAATGATATCAAAATTATATATCACAATATGAATTACCAATCTTCTATGTTCATTAATGGAAAAATTTTTGCTGGTATATGGAAGGAAGATCACCTGAATTCTTTAAGTATTCCTTGTCCCTTTATCGTTTCTGGATAGCCAATAGAGTCCTCCTCATTTGTTCCTAAAAAAACAAATACCTTCACAGTTTTTTTGTGGACAGATAGGTTTGCTCATAACGATTTATGCATTTATCATCATTTTATGGTCCAATTTGGAGGAGTCAAAATTCGATTCAGTGATGGATGAATTAACTGAAATTTATATATATATATATATATATACCGGATTGTTGTCTTTAAAGGAAGTTTGTTGGACTAACATTTCGGATTATAAACCTATCGTAAGTTTTAAAAATTGATGAATTTTATCTCAGAAAACTATATATATATATATTGTTCTTCTAATTAACACAGCTGTAGATAAAGCTGTGTCTTCCTTTTAGCGGAATGTACTTGTTGTCTAATGGATGCAGCTAAGAGCTTTTCAAAACCTAAAGTAGTCACCGAAATTAATGAAAATATTTTCCAAATCCACCACATTCAAAAAAGCCAATATATAGACAGGTAAATATACGCAGATGTGAAGTGCATAATGTGATAAGCTGATAGTTACTTTATCACTTTTTATGTTTTTTGACATCGTTCTTTGAAATTTTAATTGATGCAAAGTTAGTACTTAAAAAAAACTTTCCTTGGTAATATTTAAAAATAGATAAATAAGCATGTAAATGTTGATGATATTATATGTACTTTTTTAAAACAGTGTTATTACATAATTTTTTATAAATGAAATGACCCAATGATCCTTCTTAAAAAAAAAAAAAAAAAAAACCTAGGCAATTAATAAAATGCAACAAAAAGTATTAACTGAGAAAATGTTAAAAAACTGCGTTTACTAAGAGAAGTTTGTTGTAAATTAGGTGATAAGAATGAAGTGTCGTGAATCAAGTGATAAGAGTAATTAGAGTGTGGCATGTTAATGCAGATAAATCTCTTTTTGTTCTAAATAAATTTTCCAGTGATAAGACACACTGTGTCACATTCGAATGTCGTCCACATTTTCTCATCTAATGAATAGCTGGTCAAAGGTCGAAGAGCCTTACCTCATGAATACAGTTACAAAGAGACAGAGACAAATGTTTCATTAATTCTGCTTGATATATTTTTCTATTCATTTACAATTCTGAGGGACTAAATTAAGCCTTTCAAATTATTTTAAAATGTAATAAAAAATGTGACTTCTTTCTCCATTGGAAAGTCACGAGATCAATTTGAAAACTTTTAGTATCAAAACTTAACTGACAAAATTTCATCTCAGCGTTGATTTTTTTTGATGTAATATAATAAGAAAGTATTTTGTACTTTTTTTTAATAATGGAAAGTGATAGAAGTGAATGAGGAGATGGAATTTATAGAAAAAGACATCTAAGAGATTGGGAAATCTCGGGATCAGTTTGAATTGCTTTGTTTGTACTCTGAAAGGCAATTTATCTAAAAGATTGAACTAAAAATATGTTGGGCAATAACAAAAATCAAAATTTTACAACATTGTGTTGAATTGCCATCACGTATTCTTGAATACTTTTGAATCTCCATTTCCGGGTGTTTCTGAAATCTTCGTTCTTGATTGCATCTGAATCTTTTATTGCTTTCAGTAATGATTCCATCCTGAAATGCAGATGTTTTGTATATCTAAAGGCACTGCACGATTGAAAATGCCTATTATTCAATTCTAAGACAAATCTAAATTTGAATTTTAAATTTGATTCAGCAATTATAAATGATGTGGAGAAGCGATTCAATTTGATGTAAAAGCTAAATAAGCTAACTTAATTTTAATTTCAAAATTGGGAAGTTGCGTGCCCGTCATTATTTGGCCAAATTATTCATTTTCAAATTCAAATTTTAAGCGCGCTGAGAGAATAGTGCTGCAATGTGTAGAGCGTCACATGGGTTCTATCTGGAAATTTAAATTTTTATTTGAAATTTGTCTGGCGCTTCGTACATGTGTGGTTTCTTTCTCCTTGTTGCTTTGATCTTTTATTTAAAAAATTTGGTTAGGTTATGTTTACGTTAAGACTTCACGTGTACCACGTTTGCCACGGAAACCTCTGCTAATGGGCAGAGACAAATGAACAATTATTCCGGCCATTACAGTAATGATTATCGATTGAAATAGCTCCCTCCATGCAGCATTTTTAAATTGATGACCATCTTGTTCACTGTAGAATGATTTAGTAGGGTTCATTTGGGAGCTAGGAATATTATGCTTATTAATAGTGTAGTTAGATGGAAAAGATATGAAATGTTTCATTTTGTCTCATTTGTGTATGAAGACGTGACTGTATTCTTGAATCTAGTAGCTTTTGTTTGGATTTATAGTAGCATTTTATGTAACATGATTTCCATCATACATTTGTAAAAACTAAGGAAGAGACTTATCTGACTATCAGTTCTTTCTGATACCATTGTTAAAGTTAATTAGTGAAGAATGAATATTTCAGTTTGAATTATTTACAGATATGTCATTCAGCGGAAAACCAACAAATCATGATATCTGTGAACAGCAGCAGCTTTGCATAAATATTTCGGATAAGGATGATAAGGATAAAGATGACCAGTTAACTCCGAGGCATCGAACACATGCGGATACGGCAAAAATAGAAAATGGGAATAGAATCACGGTGACACCTGACACCCTAAGCATAGGCTCAAGAATTATGCAGATACTTAATTCAGTCCATAAGAAACCGGTATTGTATTTGATGGTTATTCAGAAGTATTCGGCTTTCAACGATTGAAACATAATTTTAGGAAATATTAAATAATTTGAAAGGTTCTGGACAATTAGGGGTAATGGCAGTGTTTTGTTTATAATAAACTGCACAATGAAGTAAAAAGTATGGAGCAGTGGCTTCTTTAAAACTTCTTTATGCACCTCATTAATTAAGAACAGACAGCTGTGGCTAAGTTATATAATTCATAATGTATATTTCCATAATGCATATTTTTTTCAATGCTATCTAATTTTTAAGGCAACTCCTGATTACACCAGAATATCACATCATCGTACATGCCAGCAAACCTCCTGTCGTTTACTACGTTTCCCAAATAACGAACCTCCGAAAGGCCCTTTTTTTATAAGTTTTAAAAAAAAGCCAGGTTGTATTTATTTTTTGGTTAGCCATAATAAACAATTAATAGAACCTATCTGTTGTAAAGTTATATATTTATTTCAGTTTTATCTTCACTTGTTCTTTTTATCACTGTTCGTGCAATACCAGAACAATTTATATAGGAGTGATACGACGTTATTTTCAAATTAATAAATAAAATTAATAAATTTGATTCATAATTCAAGAATATATTTGCTTGCAGTAGTGATCGAAACGAATTATTATAATGAAAGTTTTCGCTCGAGTTTTTTTGATCAGACATTTTTGAACCCACGATGTATCGGAAAGGGTTCATTTGGTGAGGTAAGGAAAATATTTCTGTTATTAATGAATTTCCTTCCGGATTAAATTGTTAACTGAGAAATTAGAGCGAATTTTCTAGACCGTCTTATTTAAACAAAGGCAAAGAACAGTAATAGTGTGAAATGAAAATTAAGGAACTAACTGATTAACGTATTTCAGGGTGCTTAAAAATAGTTGTTTGAAATTGTGGCGTCTGATTTTGCATTTAACAGTTTAACTTTTTATTCATTATTTTCGCAGATATTACGAAGAAGAGGTTGACCAATAATTCACAGATCGTTCATTATATTTTCAAAAAAATTTTGCAGGTTTTCAAAGCATTAAGTAAAGATGATAAGCGTTGGTATGCTGTTAAAATTACCGTGGAACCATTTCGAAGCCCAGCAGATCGTGAAATTAAGTTGAGGGAAGTTCAAAAACATGAATTGCTTCCAAAACATCCAAATCTTGTTTCATTTGTGCGAGCATGGGAAGAATATGGTTTCCTATATATACAAACAGAGCTATGTCAATGCAGGTTCTTGTTTCGAATGAAAATTGACGTAAAATGAATTTGGGAACTAAAAAGAGGCTATGTCCATATATAAGTATGAATTGTCACGGAATTATTTTCAGTCTGTTGGATTACAAGATGAAAGTAGGAACTATTCCCGAGAGAGACTTGTGGTTTTTTTTCGGAGACATTGCATTGGTATGATATTTCAAATACAAATAAATAATCTGAAATATATATCTATCGTTTTCTTGATTTGCTAATTGTGATTTCTTTCCTTAATGTTCTTCCCATCACGTATATGAGAAAAAGATTGCATTTGAAGCCTGAAATCTTTTTGTTAGTATTGGAATTTTTTAGCTATCCATAGTAATTATTAAAATCCATCATTTTGTCAGGCAGTGTCCTATTTGCATAGGCATGAACTTCTTCATGTGGATATCAAACCGCAGAATATTATGGTTTCTTTTGAGGGAGTTTGTAAACTTGGCGATTTCTCTTTAATTGTTGATCTAGAAAAGGTATACTTTTGATTTTCTTCGTTTTAAATCTAGTACAATGTCTAAAATTTTCAGTTTATCTGGTAATTTTTGCTTCTTTTTAAGCATTCGAGGGAAGAAGAAGGAGATGGAAAATATTTGGCACCTGAAGTATTGCAGAAAGGAGCTCATAAGCCAAGTGACATATTTTCGCTTGGAATGACAATGATTGATATTTGCACTGATCTTGAATTACCTAATTCAGGAGATCTTTGGCAGGGATTTCGATACAAAAACATTTATCATGAATTTATCGAAGGCATTTTTTTAAATTTTCATTAGGCAGTTTGATGTTTTTTTTCTTTTTAAAGACAAAATCTTTATTTTTCCTTACATTAAAGTACACTTTGCTGTTGTAGATGTTCCACCCGCTTTGCTGGATATTATTTTGCTTCTTCTAGAAACAGATCCTAACAAAAGACCCACCGCTGAGGAAATTTGCAACATTCCAATGATAGCAAAATCCATTCGTGAACGCCAGGTATTATTTGTTTAGGTTACTGTTCAATTATCTATGTATTTGCTTTGCTCTGACTTTTATTTATTTGTTATTGTTAAACTATATGTGGTGCTCTAATCATTGAATTCACTTTTCAGTATAAATATGTTAAGCGCAACATGTGGTGGATGCTATTAGCAATTGCTTATTCAATGCTTCTCGCATCTTCATGGATTGTACAACCGACACGTACTACTATGATGCATGCAGCAACTTATCTAAAGAGAATGTATTCATATCGTTGTCAATGTTCTGCATTTCATCATATCTTTCGACCTGTAAGGAATCATAAATGCATGATTGATTTTATATAACAAGTGAAATCCATCAAGTGAAACATATAATTCTGTCGAAAGTTAAATTATTTTTTTGAGTAACGTTCTTTTTTTTAATGAGATTTTAATATGATGATTTCAGACATGTGGTGAGTCTCCGATGTTCAAATATGGAATTATTCCTCGGGTCAATGACTCTTCACGGTTGCAATTGAAATTTGAGGAAGACGACGATGGTGGTTTCTTAGCTTTTGCTAAAAAATATGGAATTAATATAATAAGGAATCAGAGCAATGTTTTAATGTGACTTTAGCAATCCCTTTAATAAGTTGTTAAAAAGTTACTACGTATTTAAAAGGTCACGGGTAATCTGGGTCCAATCTTTTTTTTCTTTGACTAGTTATAATTTTATGTTTGAGATTATAAATATGATGAGGCCGAAACTGACAGTGGTGACAAAATGGAGACTAGTCAAAGTGAAGATGAGCTGATTAATATAATGGAAACATCTGTAAGCGAAGAACTACATGATGAATTTGAGGGAGTTTCAAGGATGGATATTGATATCCCCTCTCCAAGTAGTATGGAAAGTGTTCGTGAATTTATACAAAGTAATCTTTCAGTTTTTTTTTTTGACATTTTCTTCACAAATTATTCATTATATTTGCTATACTTTTTTTTTCAATTTTGCAGATGATTATGGTGAAGATACAAATAGTTTAACTAACTTGTTTCATAACAAAGCTAGTTTCTGTCAGTTTGGAGCGGCAGGTGATATTCTTAAAAAGTGAGTCTCAAGCCTTTCAAATTCATTTTATCATTTTAAAATCTGCATGCGAACCGTCCATTTTTTTTTGTTTTGTGGATTCTATCTGTAAGCAAATTAAACAAATTTTTAAACTTAATATCATTTTTGTGCTTAATGCTGTTGTCAGCTCTCATTTAGTGAATAAGATGAATATATTCTTAGTTTTAATACTGCATTATTGCTTACATTATGCAACTTTTACTAAATTTTAAAAGTCTTTTTGCTTTTCTGTATTTTCAGTGGAATTAAAACTCTACTGCTACTGAAAACTCGGAATTTTTGGGGGTTAATGACAGTTGATATATATATATATATATATATATATATTTTTTAGATACGACTGCAACACTTTAAATGGGGAAGAAATTTCAGTCGAAAAGATCTCTAACAAAGTAATCATTTTTCTTCATTCTTAATTCATTTTTAGTTTTACGCAGTTGTGAAAAATTTTAATTACACTGATTTTTTCGGGTGTTTAGTTTTGGTTGGAAATTCACCAAATATTTTTAATTTTGCAGGAGAATAGCTTTACACCAGAAAATTTTGAATCACAACGGAATATCTCTGCTTGTGACACTTTGGAGTACGAAGATCATGAACTGCCTAGTACATCAGAAAGTATGTCTGGTAAGAGATGGTTTCTTATTTTTTCAAATCTTTTGAATTAAACTTTTCTTTCAATATCTGAGAGCAACTACAAATTTGAAATTTTAATATTTTCGTGGAACATTAATAAATTTTTCGGTCACATATGAAAATTTGAGATTAAAAATGTGG